ATACCTATCCTAACCCCAACTTAATTCCTACCGCCATGATATGTAATAATATATACAGTATAAATGATTGAATAATATCCTTGGTTAAAAGGTACAAATTCTAAGGTAATATCAAAAAAAGTTACTTTCTTTTTTTGTACCTTCTCTATCGTATGCTTTAGTCTTATTTCTAAATTTCTATTTCAAAAATTTTAAGAAGTATATAAATTTGATAATATCGTATTTATGATGTCAAAACCAAAAAGCAGCAAATCTATTCTTTTGTTATTTTTTTTCTATCATCTATTTTTATCTTATGAGCTACATTTAACATCGTTTTTCCTATAAGAAAATCACCTTTTTGGTGATAATTACCAATCTGTACAATTCTTCCCAATGTTCTCAAGGCCAAATGATGGCATTGCATTGCAGATTCTCTTAAATACTTGAGTGCAATCATATATCTATTTCCATGAAATACAACTGGACCATTTAACAAAGTATAAGAGTACCAATATTGTGCATCCGGATGTTGCAATTCTGATGCTCTGTTGAGGTATTTCATGCTTTTTTGATCGTTTTTTTTAACATGATGTCCTTTAAGATAATAAAGTCCCACCCAAAAATTAGCATGTGGGTCATCAGGATTTAAATGATGACAATCTTGAAATGTTTCCCATGCTTGTTTATATTTTTTCTTTTGATGATAATTAATACCTTGTTCTATTTTATCAGATCTGGGTGAATGTTGAATAAATTGGTTATGATTTCCAACTTTTAAATATTTTAATATTTCATCATTTGATGGTCCTGTATCTACAATACTACCAAAATATTCATCATCATCAGCATCTTGTTCAGAAAAATAAGTCATGATTAGTTTATTCAAGTTTTCATGAATTGTTTTCATATCAGGACGTAGAGACGGATCTTGAGACCAAGATTTTTCGATGATTTCTTGATATTTTACGAGTGTGCCATTTACTGATGTAAGTTCTGGGCGGTTTCCATCAAGTATTTTACGCGAGAGTTCTTCTTCCGAAACTAAGGTATCAAAAGGAACTTTCTGATATTCAATCTCCCACATAACCAGCGCGAAACTTTTTTTAATATAAATATAATTATTATATTTTACTTTGAATCATGAATTAAAATTTTATCTTTAATTAAATTTACCTGTATACTTCACTAGCATTATTGTATTCTTCACCGCGAATTCTCTCTGGTGAACACCACCTAGAGTAAAAGTCATTAAAAATATATTTGTTTGAAATAACATCAAGTTTTTAAAATAATATCAAGTTTTAGTAAATTACCTTGAAGTTTCAGGCAATATTGATGATGACCTCAACATCACCGGAGATTCTTTAGCAGTTTTGAAATTATAAAGCTTAGGATATAAATATTTATCCAGTAACACATTGGCACTAATAATATATTTAAAAGAATGTAATTAATATGTTGGAAAAAATACCAATATTGTAATATGATATTATATGACACTAACGTTCTAACATCATAATGTAAAATATTGTTTTCATGACAAAAATCCAAAGCATTAGCAATTCCACGTGCAATTGACAACTTGTACGTTAAACTAATGTCTGGATGATTAGCAAGATAGGTTTCCAAGTTATGGTCTCCCCAAACTGAAATTACGGAAAGGCCAGTAGATCGATGACAGTACCCATAGCTTTAAAAAAAAAAAAAAAACTTGTTAATATTAATCGTAAATTTATATTACTTTGAAAGTAGGAATTATTATATATCCAGAACAAAAAATCACATGAATGAATTGAAAACATTTTTGTCTAGTATATAATGTAAAGTTCTCAACCACACTCCAAATGATAAATTCATAATAAAAGACAAATGTTATAAATTCAGACTTACAATTCAAGAATATTTGAACATTTACAAAGATCTTGCATAAATTTAATTTCTTTCTTTAATTCACACAAAAGTCCATTATCATATTGACAAATAGTCGTTTCAGCAACTCTAATACATCCTAGATAAATTTGTTGAACTATATGACCTTTACTTCCTCTAACTATTTCACCCCCCGAAAGTTGACCCTCAGAAATTTCACAGTCATATTGTTCCAATCGTCTATTAGGAATAACAAGAAATTTAGCAAAAGCCAAGACTTTAGTTTTAATTAGGTACCAATAATTTTGTTTGGTTTTCCAGTCTTCAATTGCGTTTTGTAATTCCTCATTCGTTTGAACTAAATCGTTTATTAAACGACAAATTTTCTCACGAGCCTATTGATAATTAGAAATTAACATTTATATATAAAAAAAAAAAAAGTATATATTAAAATTTAAATTAAAAGTTATATATATACCTCAGCCTCAGTACAATCATGATAAGCGATAAAAAGACCAGCTTCCCAGAAACAATTTTTAAATCTTTGAAAAATTTCAGAACCTTCGATGAATTCTTGAAATCTATGATTAACAGTTGTTTCATCATCCTTTTCGTTTGTTGAAGACTCATTAGAAGATGGATTATTAGGGAACATTAATTTAATAATTCCTTCCAACGTATCTAGACCATGTTTAGCTGCTTCCAACCCCTTAGCACATAAATCTTTATGATGATTTGAAATTTCAAATTCATGTATGGCGAAAATGAGTGATTTTTCTGCAATTGAGAGATCTTTACATTTTGATAATTGTAAATTATTTTTTGATAATGATATGTTATCAAAAAAACCACTCTCTCGTTTGTTTGGGGAAGCCATTATTTTTAAAGAAAATGAAATTTAGAATGAATGTGGGATTTCTCTATACTTGTATTTCTACTCTAAAAGATATCGATATGGTCAGATGTTTAACGTTAAAAGAATCTAAATTAAGTTAAAATGAGTTGAAAAAAAACTTTCAACGTTTTTATGTTAATTCCTGTTCTAATTTCTTCCGGTAATTCGGCACACACACACATATTAGGTATTGGTATGTACACACGCACGTACAGTAAGTTATATTTAACATTAATGTAAATCAAAATAGTATTACGATATATTTTTTTCATTAATTCACTGTACACAATCTTAATTAAGTTCCTAATTTATTTCATAAACAAAAAGGTGTTGCATAAAGTATATAAAGTATGCAGAATTCCTTGCTTAGTAGACATATGCACTATATAGAAAAGATTCAATGGGCAAAAAAACTAACAATGATCCAAAACCGTTAGATTGGAAAAGGATTCGATAGTATTTAAGCATTAGAAAAATAAGATGGCACATAAGCGCTGGACAAAAGAATTCAATAGCACATATTTTGCAGAAAAGGATTCAATAAGATGTACAACATTCACCGGAAAAGACCTTATCAATGTGATTGTGATTTTGGTGCGTGCCTAATATAAAGGTAAGTTTCAAAATTGGAATAAATTTGTTTTTTTTGTGGAATTTTTCAAAGTTCTGGAATTCTAAAATCCATTTGGAGTGGTCATTTTAATCTTTGTGATGGTTGTGTTACGAAACTTGGGCAATTTACATAACACGAAAATTTTTTTGGATTCAGATATTCAACTAATAGCCCGTTCAATCGGGGGATCTTTAAATATTATTAAAAAATATATATCAGGTAATATAAACTAATATAAAAATACTGTATCACAATTTAAAATGTATATATTAGATATATAAATTTGAAATTTTAAAGTAGGATAATTTTAACGCTCACCGAAGGTGAAATTCACGGGGGTGCTTTATCTCAAGAATTTACTAAGTAAATTGCTATAAAAATGTTCAGGATCCCTGAAAACCTCACGAGAACTAAAAAAGGACCTTATATATATAATATACATTATAAAACTCCCTAAACCTAAAATTCTTAGGCCGGTGAATTTCACCACCGGTTAATTTTAAATAAATTCTTAAAAAGTAATTTATTTTTGATACTTATTTTGAATTAATAAATATAAAAAAGTTGTATCAAAATCTTCCGAATACAGTATTACAGTATAAAAATCCAAGCCAAAAAAATATTATATATAGTATATATACCATATATATTATATATAATATATATATATATTTTTTTTTGGCTTAGATTATACTTGTTAGCAAAAATCCCAAATACCCAAAAAAAACATCCCCAACACTAACTGGAATTTGCCTGCATCTAACAAGATATCCCAAAGATTTATTACAAAAACAAAACAACAAAGTACATGTGATTCCATAAAACCATTTGATCTCATAATCGCTTGTGACAAGCCTCTCGATGTGATTTGATATCCGCTATTTTTAGAGATTTGATTGGCATTTATTTTCCAATCCAAGTTTTATTTATTAGGCTTATAACATATGTCATGATAGTTAATGATCGTCTAACTAAATTAGTATCGCGATTGTTGAAGCCCACTGTATGAGGCAACGTGCTTATTGACACGAGGCTATCACGATAGCGGGGTACTTCTGATGTAATCTAGTAAAAAAAAATTAATCCAAATATATTATACACTGTATACATAACTATATAAAAATATATACTAATTATTTAAATAAAGATTGTTAATAAATTATTAATTTGGCCAGTATTTGGGGTTTTGGCGCGAAAAATCCAAGCCATAATAGTTTGTGATTTGTGTGGCAAATATTCATTATCTCAAAAATTAGCTAATAAATTGGTGCGTAGCTATGAAAATTTTGAAAGTAACCTTGAGTTGTAATTTCCTACGGGCAGCAATAAAATTTTAGATTTCCGCATAAAAAATAAAATAGCACTTGGCAGTATTAGAAGATCATGTGATGCTAGACACCGATCATCTAAAATGGATTTTGATATCTGATATAATAACTTTTCCAAGAACTGAACATTCAAAAATTTTTACACAGTAATGTTATTAACAAATTATTAATAAATTATTAATAAATTATTAACAATTAAATATAATTTCAATTTGAATTATAACAGTAAACGTTAACGTTAACGTTAAGCAATAGCAATGGGATCATGGGTAGAAGGATTCGTAAAAAAAATTTTTTGAAAAAAAAATTGAAGCGCCCAACGTGGGGGTCGAACCCACAACCTTGAGATTACAGGAATCCTAAGAGTCTCACGCTCTACCGATTGAGCTAGCCGGGCTTTCATGTCTTAAAAACGATTTTAAAATTTAGATAATGATTATTATATTTACTTTTTAGTATTAATCATCAAAATAAAACGATTATCAATATCATTTCGAAAAATGTACTTTGCACAAAAAAATTTTAAGTCAGTACACCGTTTTCTAACACAATTTAACAATATATTTTACACTCAAATTAATGAATTTCATAGACCTCTAGTACAATGTCAGATACCAAAACCAAAAATCTCTACAATTTTTTGTAGACATAAAAATATTAGACAATTCCATTCTGTTGTTCCTCTTCCTTATGCTATAGGTAATGGAATTCAACCGTTGTTCACGGAGAAAAGTCTTAAAGAATTAATTGATTATCAGTATACTCTTGTTGATAATTTGAATAAGCTTACTTCAGGTAACTATTGAATGGATTTTATAATTCAATTTATAAAAAAAAAATTATTGATTTTTTTTTTTTTTTTTTCAGACTCGGAATTTTCGGATTACACAATATATGAAATAATTACTAAAACTGCTCAAGATCCATCGAAAGCTTTAATATTTAATTATGCATCTCAGGCATGGAACAATGATTTCTTTTTACAAGGGTTGGTTTGTATCTTCCATAAAATTTTCCATTCTTCTGCCACTTTAAAGTTCATATTAAACTAACTAATCTAATCTTTATCGAAATCATAGACACCAAAAGGTGTGACATTGCCAGAAGCATTTCTTCACGAACGAATCAAACAAACATTTGGTTCCATAGACGACTTTAAAACACATGCAAGTTTAATCTAATGATTGTTATTTTTTGGCTTCATATTCCAAAATGTTCTTTCTAATTACTTCATCACATTATTAATAAACAGTTTAAAGATATGGCATTAGGATTATTTGGTTCCGGTTGGACATGGCAAGTACCTATAAGAGATTAAAGTTAGTAAAGATAAATGAATACTTTCTAATTGATCTATGTGTCAATAAGGCTTGTCGAAACTGAATTTAGGCAGCTCAGAGTGGTAAACACTTATAACGCAGGTGAAAAGATATCAATTTAAAATATGATCAATCAATAAACTTAGACTAATCAATAAAATTAGACACTAATTTAAAATTATCATATACATTTTAATTATTACATCACAATAGGTACAACTCTTGACACTACTCGTCTCCAAGAAAAAGATCCAAACAACCATCCAACAAGCCTCTTGTCATCTCCATTCTTGACTAATGCCTCACAAACATCATCACAGTTTGCTCAAAGTACTGGCTCTTCTAAGCCAGTTCCACCACCTTCCATAGCATTGAATTTAATAGATCCCCCACCACACAAATCTAAATTCACTCCATTATTATGCCTAAATGTGTGGGAGCATGCATATCTTAAGGATTTTGGAATTCATGGTAAAGAAACGTATATAGATCAGTTTTGGGAATGTGTTGATTGGACGGTAGTACATAATAGAGCCGCGTCGCTGCGTGATGTTCAAGGTTCTTAAGATGTTTGACATATATACAATATTAAAAATTTATATGTTCCATGTTTATTTACAATTAAAAGATAAATAGTAAAATAAATTGATGTTAATTTTCATCATTATTGGTGAAATTGGTGAAATATGTAGATAAAAAATTATTTGAACAAATTTCATTTTTATTGTTAAAGAAAAGTTTTGTGTGCAACAAAAGTTTAAACTACAAAACTTCCAAATTATATAAAGACGTAGATAAATATAAATTTATAAATAACTTGCTAATAAAAAATAAAAATAAATGAACCCTTTAATATTATACCCAATGTTTACCTTTGTTAAAATTTAACTATCATTTATATATACCGATAATGCTTATAATAACTATTGAAAGCATTTACATACAGTCAATCCTGCTATAATCACCCCCTTGGACCTGAATAGGTTTTATAGACCCTGACCTTGCATACGATCATATACAGTATATAGTTATCATATTTCAGTATGTACCGTATAGTTCCGAAATTAAGCACCACCCAATTTTTTAATCTCAGATTAGTGGGGCTAAGTAGAGCGGGTGGTGCTTAATTTCGTAACTATACGGTATTTATATGTTAAATTGAATTGCTTTGCAGTATTAATATGATCTTATACGTAGCATAATGCGGCAATCAACTAGTGTCAAACTAAGAGAATCGCATTGCCAGAAGTAGCGTACTGGTCGTATCTAACGCTAATTCTTGTAAATAATCAAATATTATAAAGTTGATGCTGAGTTTCAAAAATGAAATGAAAGGGACAGAGAATAAATAGAAGCATTCACCATACTCAGACGTACGCATGTGTAATTTATACACGTCACTCTGGTTATATCGACATTTCAAAAATGTCGATATAACCAGAATGACGTGTAGTATCGATCATAAATTCTTTAAGCAAAGATATTTCCCTATATGATACTTCATCTTAACATGAAAAAAGAACAATTCTAGTATACACCCGAATCATCAAAAGGGTTCGTCTGTAAAAGTTAAATTTTAAGAATTTTTTAACCATGCAAAATACTGAAAATTATATTTAGGAAATTAAATTCATAAATATATATGCTATATATATATATATATTATGGTTATATATTACGAAATACACGTCACTCTGATATCGACATTTTTGAGTCATTAATAAAAAAAAATTCAAAATGTCGATATACTGACATTTTATATTAAATTTTTGAAAAAAAATGTCAGCATAGAAAGATTTTACTATGATGTCGTTATATCCAGATGTCGATATAACCAGAGTGACGTGTATAACACCCCATGAAGATATAATATAAAAATTATAAATCCGATAAGTTCTCAAAAAATATGTCTTCCAAGACACAAACACCTTCATAATATTATCGCCTATAGCTATTTGGCTGGCAATTAAGCCAACACTAGCTCTAAAATCAGGTCTGCTCTTAATTTTTAACAAAAATATAAAAAATATGCTAATACTATTCTACGTACGTATGTACGTACTGGTCATAGAAAGTTTAACAAAAAGTGGATATTTTGTTTATAGTAGTATTATATTGTTTTTTTTTTTCTTTCTTAGAAAGTTTAGTTTTATTTATATTAGTAATTATCTATAGACAATTATTTTGCAAATATTCTTTATCTAATAAAATTGATTCTTGTTTATAGATCTGTTATTTTTCTTTATTAATATCTAATTTTGTAAATATACAATTTTTTCTAATTAAATTTCTAAATTGTTTAAGATATTGAGATTTCTTTAAGCAATTTATATATATATACAGTCAGAACTTGTTATAGGCACCCTTGTTATGGTCACAACCTTATTATAATTACTGTTTTTTTATATTATATTAGTCTCGATATAGTCACTATCACATAATTTTTTATAACCAACCTTATTAAATTACCTCAATATAGTCACAAAAAATAAAAGTGTCACTTTTTACAATCAGGTTATAATTATCACTATTCGGATAACTCGTCTGCAATACTAAAACATATAAATTCGAATTAATCAGATATAACATTGCATTTAATACAGATGGATGGACTATCGAGTACTGTTGAATCTTTCAAAACCAATCCTATTAAAATCGATAAAATCGATAACCTGCTAAGTCTGATAAAAATAATAATTTACCAGATGTATTGTAATATATTTATTAAATTCGGGCGGGCTTCGGTACGACGACACGTACTACGACGGTCACGTGAAAACGACGCACCATGGAGATCACGTGACTCAATCGAACCCTTCGTTTAACGGCCCACTACTAACTAACTTCAGTCCGTGTATTTATTATAGTTATTTGGTTTATTTATTTCTTCATATGTACAGTATTTGTTTTTTATTATTACAGTATTGCATTTTTATTATTGTTTATTTCGATGGTACATGCCCCGTAATTATTTACTCCGTTTCGTCGTCACGCATCATTCGTCACGCATACTATCGTCACGCATACCATCGTCACGCATAAATCGTTATGCATAAGATCGTGATGCATCTTGATAATTTCATGATCGCATAGGCCCAAAGATCTAAAAACAGATAGAAATATTAGTAAACAAAATTGTATAAAAAGACAAGTAAAAAAAGACTTTGAAAGAGGCAGAAATCGGATGCCTCAAATACTTATCTAATAAAGAATCTAAAAATTTTTTTAAAAACCCAAAATCTTTTAAAAATACATAATCAAATATTTTGATTACAATATTTCTGCTAAAATCTAGTGGTTTATCCCTTAATTTGTAGACTTTAGCAGGCAAATGTGCCTGCTTAGATATTATAAAATTGGCTCTAGTTTATTTTTTTTTTAATATTTAAAATATTTAAATAAAATTTGGTATAATTATATTTGAAAATAAGGATTATAGAAATTTTAATATGTTGTAGCCCAATATTATATCTATTTATAATAAAAATTTTAACTAATTTGGATTAGTAGTTGCTAAGACTGAACCTGAACATGTTCATGAACTTTGAACTGAACTTGAATTGAATCTGAACCAACTCCAAAAGTTCAATACTGAACTGAACTTGAACAGTGTTTTAAAAAATGTTCGAGTTCAGGTTCAGTTCAATATTGAACTGAACCTGAACTTGACCTAAGCTCAGTTCAGTTCAGATTCATAGAAACACTACTGTCCAGTACTATCTAATCTGCTAGCTTTGAACTAGTATTAGCTATTCTGTACTATACTTTTATAACTAGGTAAATGCATAGCATTGTTTGTCCAAAGCTAAATATTTATATAAATTTAATAATTAAAGAGTTTGCTATTTACTAGATAAAAGCATAGTATTGTTTGTCTAAAACTCAATTTTATTTCTTGTACTATAAATTTTATATATGTTCTAATTTATGGAATTAATAATAACTTTGATCCACCAGTCCGTTTTGGATGATTTAACTATCAAAATGTTTGTCTCGATGAGACGATTCTAAAAAACCCAAAATCGCCAAAATCCAATCACAGGATCACAAGATCGTTCATCACTAAGTAAATTTCTTT